TCATCACAGTGGCCTGAGTACAGGCAGTCAACTTGCTTTTAAAATGCGTACGAAATCAAACACAGGATGATGCTGTTTTTATTAAAAGCCACAAAATGCTTGAAACCAATTAATGCTCTGCTACTTAACTAATGCCKCTGCTCAGAAAATTAAATGGTTGCATTTAAGAAAACCCATTTTAAAGCTTTTTCTTTCAGATTTCTAAGTGGGTTCAACCCCCTCCTTCAGACTTCCATGAGCCATGCATTTTCAGTGCAATATATCAAAGTACCAGGATATCAAAGCTTCCAATCTATTCCTTAAATTATTTGAAGCTACAAGGCAGCCAGGCTTTTCATGTAGAGTTCATTCCGAATTCTTAAGGCCCTTTACAAATATTACCAGCTTTCATCTGGATATAAACAAGGAGCCAAACACCTTGAACGTGCTGCTGTGATGCTGCACCGTCAAAACGACTAAATATTTTGACAGATTCTGGCTCTGTATAATCAGCTGGCTACAAAAAGCTGAAGCAGCAATTATTCACAGTTCAGGGGGCAGCAGCAAATCAAGGTAAAGAAATATTGCGTGCTAAATGCAGTTGCTTGCATGTTTTGCACCCAATCYCTTTGGGTTGAGTGGTTTGGTTTCTTGGAGTCTACCATATGTTGGGTAAGCTGTGCTTTCGTTGGTAATTTTGGTACCAAAGTAGTAAAAGGTAGTTTTCATCTGTACTTAAACAGGCTCCAAAATGGTCCAGCAAAATTATAGACAAATAAACCTGATGTTTTACCCTGCAGATTAATCCATCTACCAGAATCTACCATTGATCGAGCTACCAGATGATCACAGGCACAAACCTGAGCACGATGGACTCAGAGAAGAGTCCGCGTGACTTCAGCAGAGGAGACTCATGTCTTGCAAATACAGTATAGTTCTCTGAAGAGAGCAAGTGGGTAGGTAGGGGAGGCAGCTGCCGTGGCATAAGAAGAAAGTTTCTCTTCTGAATGAACAACTGGTTGTAGATGATAGGAAATAAATGATACAAATAACTCTGCACTTTTCACAAGGCAGGGACATTGCTTACCATGTCTCTTGAGAACCTGTGCTGTTCAATATACTCATAAGAGGGTTGGAAAAGAGGKTCGGTTGATAGTGGTGTGCCCAAATCTGCTGCTGGATGGTATGGAGTTGTTCAAGGTAAGCAAAAGCAGAAAAAAGTTGCAAAAAGTTGCAGAAAAATCTGACAATATCAAATGTCTGGGCAATAAAATAGTTGATGAAATGCCATGTCAATAAAAGTCAAGTACAGACACAATGATAGGATTTAAATTAGCCCATGAAAGAGGTCCTGGCGTCATCGCAGATGGTTCTTTGAAAATGTCTGCTCAGTGCTCAGCAGAGGTCAGAAAGGCAAGTGGAATGCTAAGAATTACTGGGAAAGAGATGGAGAATAAAAGAGAAAATGTAAGCAGACCACTGAATAAACCCGTGGCRATCTTGAATACTGAGTGCAATTCCAGTCATCCCTTCTCAATGAAATGGTGAAATAGAACTGGAAAAGATTCAGAGAAGGGCACCAAGGCTGACCTGAGTTATGAAGTGGCGAGTTGAAACAGCTTAAGCTGGTGAGCCTTGCAAAAGAAATGAATGAGCAAGGTTGAGGTAGAGGTGTAAAATCAGGATTGCCGAGGAGGAGGTGAATAAGGAATTATTTTTTGACAACAAAGGAAGAAATGAAATGGTGAGTCAACAGGGCTAAAGCAAACTAGAAGAAAAAGCTTTCACAGTCCATAAGGAATTGAAGAAACTCATCCAACAAAATCTTCTGTATGYCAAAAGTAAATACAGGTTGAAAATGTAGCAGTGCTGAGGATGTTCCCAGGTCTGACTCCAGCGTGTTTCTGCTCCAACCCTTATCCTGACGTACAGAGATGATTAAATCCTCTTGGTCCTCTTTAGCTGGGCAGGATTTGGATTCTGCTTTGGTTTGGGCTGCTCTCCAGGAGAACCTGGCAGGTTTTTTGTGGGGAACAGATCATAGTCAGTTAAAGGACCATTGTGGTCTTCTGGCAACAAAAGCTGCAGAATTCTCTTAAATTCATGAATTAAGTTTGAATTACAGCGTAATATTGGGGAGGAATAACGTCCAGCAGCACCTTAAAAAATCCCTGCACTGCATAGATGGTCTCGAGGGTTAACTCCCCTCTCCCTAATCCGCTCTGCTCTGTTTCTGCATCCAAAGGCTGCACGAGCCCTGTTGGCAGCAGCAGCGCAATGGGAGCTCACGTCGGACGGGCTCGGGAGCCGTGTGACAGCAAGGACCAAAAAACCTGCTCGAGCAGAATTATCATCAAATTATATCTGCCTCGGGAAATCAATCAGCGCGGGCTGATTTACACCTGCCGGAGCCAGCGCCTCGTGAACTCCGTCATCTTTCCCAGTGATGTTTTTATCTTCGCCTTGACACAGGCAGTGCGAGGAAAATATTTTCCCGGGGAAAATCAAAACATGCAAGGTAGTGTTTGGCAGCGTGTCGGAGCCCGGCGTTCCTGCTGCTTCCCACAACGGCGCTGGTGTCTTTTGCTAATGACCAAAGTGCAGCATAATGAGTTGTCTTGGGTTTCTGCGCTGTTTTAATAGCCTGCTCGCCGCTCTGAAACGGATAAATGGTGTTTATGCCCTCTTGTGGTAGTTATCGAACAGGAAGGATTTTCCAGCCCCACAAAATTAGGCCAATGTTGGAAAAGTCGTAGGTGAAAATCTGTAACAAACCCTGTTTTGCACAGTAGAAAAATATCCACTGCTCCGGCAGCATCCCCATGACTCAGACAAGGGGGGAAGCCAATTTTACATACATTTATAGCATGACTAATGCCCATAATGGCAGAGTTCCTGCCATCTTTCTGCAGTGAAGATCATTTAAAAAGTGCTTTTCCGTGCTAGAAATGTTGGTAAGTGAAATATTGTTTTTTACAAGCAGTAGAGTTGACGTCTTTTGGCTTTTGTTGTTACAAACCTGTTTTGATACATACCTTCACTCTGTCTTCTTCACTCGCACATCTGGCAAGCAAATAATCTGATTCTCTTAGCACAAAACCTGTCCGTAGATTAAGRATATTGTTTATTGATTTCACTGGAGAAAACAAATTCYAGTGAAATTTCCCTTTTTGACCTTTGCATGCTGAAATACGGGATCTCACAAGGAATTAGCTTGTCAACCTCTTCCTAATCTACACTGAGAATTTAGGTCTCTGATGAGGAACTCAGGACCTCCACAGATGAGTTGGTCTTGGGTTTTATATGGATGTGCTGCTTTTTCCYTGACTGCAAATGGAATACAGCAAAATATCTCCTCCAGGTAGTGAAATGAGCAGAATAAATCACTACTCTACTTCAGATAGCATATTCTGTCTGGCTGTGGTCACGATTAGGTGGATTGAGGCAGGATCTAGAGAACCCTGTTCCAGGTATCCCTAGGCTCCCGATCCCCCAAGAATCACCTTCCATTCCTCATGTTGGCTCATGTCTAGAGGCAAGATAGGGTATTTCCCTTACATGCCACCCTTCTCTCTACCCAACCAAGGGTGTAGAAGACTGTCCCAGAGAAGAAGGGAACAAATTCTGCATCCATGATGAGTAGGACAAAAATAGTGGCCTCAAATGAAAGCAGTAGGCATGCCAGGGTTAAACTTTAAGAAGAATAGTCTCTAACAGGATGGACTTGTATTGGAATGGACTGCTTGAGAGAACTTGAGGATCTTCATTTCTGGACATGTTTCAGGAACATTCCAACCAATTTCTGCTGAGAGGAGCCCTATCATTAGTTCTATCCTTATGAAAGACATTAGCCTGGATGACTCACWTCAGGTTCTCCCAGCTCAGTTTTTGTGATTCTGTGTGATGATTTGTTTTTATTTATTTGTCAGTATGAGGAGACAACGCACATTTGTGTGGCAATCTTAAACGCTAACCCTTTGTTCTTTCAGTTGATCTTGCTGTCAAATCTGGCGGATAGCAATGCAGTTCTATTTATGTCCCGCACTTTACAAGTATACTTTACAAGAGCAAAAACCTCCAGTCTGACACCATTAAAGTGCTTTTTAGGTTATCACAGACTTCACTGAGCACAGGTTGTGTCCCCACTAAAATGAGAATAATCTCTGAAGTGTTGTTTTATATTTTTCCTTAGGAAAAAAGAAATTTGTAGGTAAAAATTATGGTATAAAAGGAAAGTTTCCTCTATCTGAAATMTTTGAGGCCTTTAAAATTCATTTAGGGAATTTCAGAAAGAAAATGAAGTCTAATTTAAAATTCCCCTTGCATTCCTTCTCTTTCTACAAGTTGTTTATTGCTGTTGGCCTGCGGACTGGCAAATCTTTCAGAAATGAGCCATAATTTGCCTTAAAGATACCTTTCTGGCCATGATGGAATTATTCCTTTTGGAGAACGGGATTCCAGTGATTCTGTAGAAAGAGCCCAGTTCTTAATTCCCATTGACATCAGTGAGGTCGAGATTTTGTGCAGAACTACTTGGCAACAGGGAATTTGGAGCTGACAGCACATGTCAAAGTGGAGGTACCCATCACATGAAGTTCTTGGACCGTTGCAACCTCTTTAGTGATTACTAAAGAAGAGAAAGGTGAACATAAGACCAYAGYGTATAAAACACATACCTGCAGTCTCGTTCTRTAAATTAGGAGACACTGTGGGCATTAGGAATGCACAGGTTGATAAAAGGCAGTGCACCATCCTCCGTTAACAGACATTTGTTTTATATGCTMTGGTCTTATGTTCACCTTTCCCTTCTTTAGTAATCACTAAAGAGGTTACTAAGCAGGAACATGGTGAAAAAAAGCGAAAAACAGATGTGAAAGCCAGTTGGAGAATACTTTGGTCTAGCCTGGGCTTGCAAGGGTCCAAGAACTTCATGTGATGTTCTAGTAAGAGGAAGCCTAACGTTGTCCATCATCAGAGAAGCCAACAAACCACTAATGGATTTCCATGTCATATCTTGACAGGTATTGACAGAGGGCGGTTTTGGGGCCATCACAACAGAAATCCGGGAGGCTCCGGACTTCTACCTTGCCGAAGATTACCATCAGCAGTACCTCAGCAAGAACCCCAACGGCTACTGTGGGATGGGGGGCACAGGACTTTCCTGTCCCATCGGGATCAATAAATAGCATCCGCTCAGGCCATTGTATGAGGGGCTTGTTGGAAAGAAACAAAGAAGTGGACAACCCAAAGGGATGTTATCATGTGCCTGCAGAATCAGTCTGGAAAGATTTGGGCACCCTGTAAGGCTGGTGCTTTTTAATTTTAGTGGCTGGCATTGCTTTGCATTCAAAGACCCTAAAAAGCCAAAGCTGAGGCTGAAACAGCTCCTGTTTATGAATGCAACCTCTCCTTCTGTGCATTTCCTTGCAATCTTGTGATTTGGAAAGAAAAGCAAAATTTTTAAGTTTGTCTTGGTGTGTTGAGGTGAACTCRAAAGAGATGGATGAGGGGGTGCCTMATTAGGGGGAGCCCCTGCTAACCTCCTTGCACAGCTAATGCTTATAGGCATATTTATCATCTTGGTTTAATGAATTTGCTTGTGTTGTGAGAGCTTTGGCTTTTGGAGATAATAGTTGAGATCATCTTAGCTATCAAAACTCTGTAATTTGATATCGTTAAGAATGGCGAATTTATAAGATCAGCAATTYCTTCACAGTATCACCTTCACAGCAATGTATAAATATCACCTCTAGTGCCTATTTTCTGAAACCATTTTAGTAAAAAAAAGGATAAAAACTGTGCTGTGATATTTCTTGTTGACAGTTCCAAAAAATGTATAAACGCAAAAAAGAATTCAACTTTGCTTCATATGCTGCAATAAATTACAAAAAAAAAAAAAAAAAAAAAAAGGAAAAATGTTGTCAATTATGTATTCCATGGCTCTAAATATGTCTGTACAGATCTCAAAAAAAGGATCAAAAATTATAAAGGACTGCAGACTGCTAATTAAATACTGGGGCTTTTAAATCTGTATTATTGTGCATGACAGTACAGAGAAGAATTCATATTGGGTGCGTTATAACACAGTCATTCCTGTGATTAATTATTGGTACTTCAGTAGCTTGTGGAGCCCCCCACCAAGAGCAGGGGTCACCAAGAGCAGGTTCTTTACAAACATGGTATGTGACACAGTCTCTGCCCCAATGCATGTGCAATCAAAATAGTCAGGAGAGCCAGAAACAGGCTAAATCATCATCTCCATCCTCTTGTTGGGGATCGCTGAAAGAGGACACTAAAAGATAAAGCAAAGGATGTAGGGGGATTCTATCTGAATCTTGGTGTCTTCTCCATGGACAGAGAGCTTCAGTAGTGGGAATGATGGCATGGTTGTCTCTTGCTCCCAGCCTGCTCATTACGATAATTAAGAACCATGGTGGACCTGGAACTGAGTCTCTCATGAGCCTCCAAAGCTGGAGACATAARGCTTATAAATCCACTGCTAAAGTCTTGTGTGGTTTATCCAAAGACAGGCAGCAAGTCCACGCCAGACAAATCATCCCTCCAGAATACTTCGCTCCTCAGCCGGCGTTTAGCTCACTCGAGTCCCAAAAGCAAGATAAAACACCTCCTTTTAATGTCCTTTTAGCAGGATTATACCTGGGGCAAGCCTGAGAAGAGTTACCCCCAGCAGGATTGTCACACGAGGCTCTTTCTGCAGATGCCCCCAAATGTTCCCACGTAACACTTGGGATTTTTGGTTGCCTTAGTAACTGAATGCCTGTTGTTAACATGTTGTGCCACTGATTTGTTCTGTTGCTCACTGTCAAGGAAACCAGCACTTTCATCTAATTTCATAGGCATGGGATGACATAAAAGCAAAGAAGAGAGGAGAATAGTCTGACTTCACTCCTATGCCTTTTTAACCTCTGTGTAATTCAGACTTCAGGGGGATARCTCCTGATTTCTTCCAAGGTACAAGGCAAAGCATTATGTGCACCAAATTGTTCAGGTGCTTATAAAATGTTGCTCSATTCCTCCTGTCTTTTCTCTGCTAGTCCATGCTAGAGTAGAAAGTCTTTAAAAGAATGGACTGTTCTGTCCTTAATATAGCAGGACTCAGCTCTGAATCTCAATGGGGTATTAATTCCCTAAAGAAAATAAAGTACTAGGATTTRTAAATCAACATAAATAGGTCTATTGATACCAAATCTGGCCCACACCAGTATATTATGCTCCATGCCAAATTAAACATGCAAGGTGGTCATTTGGTCCTGCATTGATTGTAGTTACCAATAGCATGTGGGGTGAAATTTGTACAGGAGGGGTGTTAGTGATTCAGCCTAATGCAAGATAGGTTTGTAAGATAGGTTTGGTCCTCACCCACAGCTTGCCAGGAAGAAGGGRGTGGCTGCCTGGATGTCTTTGACAATGCAGTCTTGATTAAGCACTGTTTGAAGCTTATCCTACCACAGAGCTGCCTCTTCCTTCTGGGAAAAACAGATGGTCTAAATGGAAAAAAAGAGAATTCCTTCAAAGTTTGATGAAGTTCAACACTTCACAAAGACAAAAACGGACACAGGACCAGCTAAAGTCTTTGAAGAGAGAATATGACTCAAGAAACATAAGAAAAATTATAGAACCCAACCCATGGAGTCCAACATTACGATGTCTGATGAAATTTAGTCCAGGATCCCAGCAGGCCTTCCACTTCTGTCCTATCTCTGTCATCAAAGCACATCTTAGACCTCTCGGAAGTGGCTAAGCTGTTGGCCAGCACAGCATGAACTTTCCATCACTTTAGAAGAGACAKACAACTGTGATGTCAGCAGAAGCAAGTGGATTGTGTGATGTCACCTCTTTGAGGAACATCCTGGTGGCCTCCMGCAGAGGGACTTGTTGTCTTTGGTGAGAATACAGAGTGGGAGCGATGACCTGAGGTATCCGTAGAAGTCTCACTGCTCTGAACATGGTCAAAGAGGGTTGGATTAGAATGGGATCACAATGTTGTTCCTTGCCCTCTGTTTTTTATCTCCTCTGATCAGCAGCATCCATGCAAGTAAGTGGATTATCCTAAATGTGCTTTGCAGATCTCAGTAGCCTCTGTAGCCTTAGTACAGGTGAGAAGAGTGGCAGGTCCTGATGTAAGGACTATAATCTCCAGGGTGCCCTGCTCCAAGTTGAAGTGTTCATTGCCTCCTATTGGAAAAGCCCTTCCAGATACGCTTCTGAATAATGGTATTCACTTTCCCAAATGTGTAATAACTTCCACAGACAGTGGAGATAGTGAGGTGCAGACTGCTGTGTCCACAGAACACCCACTTTTTTAGTGCATTTGAAGAAATCACTTCTAGTGCCCTTTCCACTAGCTGCTTTAATTACCATAGACATGCATGAATTCCAGCATCCGGGATATATATCTTTGGGTACAGGATATCTGTGGTCCTTCTAACTGTAGGTGGAATTTAGCTTACCACATTTGAGCCAGATAAAAATCACCAGTCTAATCTAACCTAAGAGATAGATTCAAGTCTAAATGGAGTTCCATCTGTCTAAATTTGTTCCATTTATCAGAGATGCCTGTCTTAGAATGGGATGAATCATCCTCTAAAGGTGCCTCACTCTCTCCATTGACTGCCAAAATAGGTTTGCTTACACTAGATTTTTATCTCTTAGATGGCTCAAATTCAGGTGAGATGATAAATGCAACGCAGGCAGCTAACTCAAGCCTTTGAGAGGAAATAACAGTGGGAAATGAGAGGTATTACTGCCAGCATCTTTCTTGTGAGTGAATATGGTATCCAATTCTGGTGGCCTGTCCTCAAGAATAATGTTGGCAAGGCAGAAAAGATTTCAAAAAGACAGAGARACAAATCATATTCTGGAATGACCGCCTTACTGTGTACAGACTGAATATACTCATTTTAGTTATCACGTAAATGGTTATGAAAGAACTGGTCACAATTTATGAATACCTATATGAATGAGGATGAAAATTCTGATTGAAGGAGTCCTTTAACTCAATGAAAAAAGATTGCATAAGGTCCAGAGGATGGAAACTGCAACTGGTTAAGCAGACTAGATGTCAGTCTCCACCAGCTGAACTCTTTTGATTGAGACTGAATGTCCTGATAATARCATTATCTTCATCCAGGCTTACTGCTTGAGGCATAGACTTGATTAAGTGAAATTCTCCAGCTCTCACAATGCAGAAATTCACTGTGCAGAAAACCTCCACTCCAAAAGGCAGAACCAAACCCCATTACCTACCTTCCCTTTCCCTTGTAGCTGTGACACTGGAACATTTGAAGTCTCCAAGAGCCATGGTGCCTACACCACATTTTTTGGAGGTRTTGTTGGATGCTCCCTTTCTTAGGACAGTTTATTTGCTTGCCCAGCTGCAGCTGTGGTGCAGCCCAGTCATGTGAAACGTTGCAGACAGGCTTGGCTAACATCAAGGCATGCGAAATATATTCAACATACGATAAAAACTGACCAGGCATGAGTTGCTGGTGGTACCCAAGCAAGTTTAATGCAGGACGAACTGAGCGTGTCCATGCTCATCTACGGGCCTGGTTCTCATCAATTATCTGTTGTGTTTTGTGCCTAGAGTGTGGCCTCAGAGCACCTTATCAACCTGCTCCAAAGAAGGGCGAAAGGATCATAGGGGGGACAGATGCCGAGGCTGGTGACTTCCCCTGGCAAGTGAGCATCCAGAGCAAGGGGAGACATCTCTGTGGAGGCACCATCATCAGCAGCTGGTGGATTTTAACCGCGGCACATTGCTTTGGGAAACCACTGTGAGTACCTGAGCAAAGCGAGGATGACCAGGGCTCAGTGTGGGCGGCACAGTGGGGCCACAACCCATCTCCTCATGAGCATGGGGTGCCCATGACCTTGGGATCAGGTGTAAAGAACATGGAATGAGTGGCTGAGCCACAGCAAGAGATACCTGGCCATAGGAGTAGTCTCCTTTGGTGAAAACAGGCCCATTTTTGATCAGGGATGGCTTTGCAACAACAAAAAAATTGAAAAAAAAAAAAAAAAAAAGAGGGAAAAAAAGAAAAAAAAGGGGAAAAAAAGGAAAAAAAAAGGAAAAAAAGGGAAAAAAAAGAAAAAATGCATAGCCAGGAGATGCAGGAGAGAGATATTTGAAAGGATGGTGTCCACAGGCCAGTATAAATGCTCGTGATGCTGTGTTTATGCTCCCTCCTTCCTCCAAAATCAATTCCTGTGTGCCTACACCAATTGCGCCAACACAAAAAAAGCAGGTCTATTCCATTCTGGCTTCTTCTAACCTCAAAAGTACCCCTGCTGCCTTATAGCAAACACCTTCACCTTGCGGGAAAATCTGATATAAATCCAACAGCTTCTGAATAAATCACCCCCGTGCAATATCCAGCAGCAGAATCCAGCCCCTGGTGAGCCCCCTTTGAAACACAGCGGGTTCGGAGCGGGGCTGAGGGGTGACATGGTGACAAGTGGTGCCTGGGGCCACCAAACTGGAGCAGCTGGCTGGTGGCAGAGYGGTCAGGAGCAGCCAGCCCAGGACACCGTGATCCCAAACAAGSAGTCGGCTCCATCTGTTCGTTAGCGCCTGGGCTATTTATACCTTCTGTACGTTCGTGTTCTGCCTCTGCACCTCTTTCCCCCTGAAAATCAGATCTTGGCTAGAAGTGAGGGTGGATTTGAGTGGTATTTATACATAACGCTGCTGCTGCCWTTTGCAGACCACTACCCTACTTAGGAGAAGAAGGCATCGAGTCTGCACCTCAGTTTTCATGTTTTCTCATACATATGTTGCTTCTCTTTCGTTACTAAGGCCTCCAGATCTCACTGTTGTGTTGGGGGGAGTAGACCTCAGCCAAAAGTTGGAAAGCAAAAAGCTGAACAGCTTGATTCTCCATGAAAAATTTGACAGCGAGAGCTTGGAAAATGATATTGCTTTGATCCTGCTKGACTCTCCCATCCAACCCAGTTACCAGAAAATGCCCGTCTGCTTGCCCTTCATAAGTGATCTTCAYGTATGGAAAGATTGCTGGGTTGCTGGATGGGGCACCACAGCTGCAGGTGAGAGGCTATCAGGAGAGGTATTTGATAATTCACTTAAATTAGAAGTTTTCCCCTGGGGGGCGGGATTGCTGTGATAACTTCAATCCCTTTCTCCCTTGTAAACACATCCAGACCCTTTCAACCTCTTCACATCCACCAGTTCTGAGTTTAGCACAGGAACCCCAAGCCCACAGAGAAAAGTACCTGCCATACTAAGCACATACATTAAGGCTGAAACCTTAAAGCCATCTTGGATCTCCAGGAACTCAACTTTCTTGCTCGTGTTTTTAGCCCTCAAAGTTAGTCAAGCCTCACATTGCTGGGCAAGTGGTCTAGGGTTGTGCTTGGGTTAGAACCTCCATGAACCAGATCAGTTCAGTGGATTCTGGCCAGCCCTCTTCGTTTAGGAGAGCAGGTTGTCATTGCCAATTGCTCTGGTTTATGCCCTGATGAAAGTTGCTCTGACACTGAMTGTGACCCAAAATGTCTATTCTGAACAAATATCAGCAAAATAGTAATGGGTTATTTCTTTATTGAAAAGAGGGCATCAGGACATTGTGAGCAGTGCTTAAACCTTGGGACTCAATAGACCTTCCGGGGATATAGCTAGTTACAGTGCCATTCAATCCTTTCTACTCAGCATTGTGGGGATATTAAATCCCTTCTGAACCTCAGCATTTTCCTCCCTATCCTTCATTTGYTCCATGTCACAGTAAAACACAGTGTAAYGTGGTGTTATAGTTGTCAAACTCTCCTTTTTCACCGAGGTTACACGCTGTAGGTGGTCTCTACGAAGCACTGTGCCCTACCATACTAAACACCAGTGCAAATAAATGCAACTRGTGGGCAACTAAGCAAGCACTACTGCTCAAACTAAGTCCCAGCCTGACATTTTGTTGAGTGATGTTGGTCACAGGTACAAATTGCAAGTGGCGTTTCATGTGACAGATGGCAGCTGACTCTTCTTCAACTGCAGTCAGTGAGACATCAAGTCACACGGAGCCACCTCCATGGAGATGCCTACATTAAAAAAAAAATAAAATCCGTGGGCTGCCTTCTGTGCAGGTATCACATGCTGGGAAAGAGACACGACACCTTTCTAACTTTTAGATACTGCATCTGAGCCCCTTTTTCCTGAAGGGACAGGGAGGATGCAGCCCAGTGAAATGTGGAAGAAGTGGGTTGCTGAAACRTGTATGGGTCTTCTCCAAGCAACAACACTTACCAAAAGGCAGTTCTGTCTTTCAGATTCAGATTTGTTTTGAAGAGAACTGTGGGAGAAATGAGTGGATTTTCTGTAGTGATTTCTACTTTTTCCATCTCAAGGAAGAACCAAATGGTTGTTTCTGAGTACCATTTTAGGAATGATATGGACACGACCTCACCATTTTAGGAATGATATGGACACGACCTCACAGCCCCCCCTTGCCACCTAGGAAAGGATGATGCCAAGTGGAAAGGAGAAATGAAGGAGATGTTAAGGAGATGCTAAGGATGAAAGGAGAACAACTTCTTCTTTTCCATGAGAGGCTCAATGGACTTGGCTCCTTGGCCCCATCTCTTGAGTCTCCCAGAAACATGAGTGAGACTAGAGCAGTGCAGTGCTCCTTTGGTGCCCCAGCTATACCATATCCCTGAGTTCAGCTGCAAAAACAAGTGATTTTTTAATCCTGTTAACYTAGACTCCACTCCCCTGGATTTCATCTTTCCTTTTTAACACCTACCTTCCACTCTCACCCTACCTACCCTTCTTGTCAGGAGCACAAACTTTTCCCTCCCAACATTAGGCAACCACTGGAAGTCCTCATGACCCCAGGATAGCACAGCTGTGTCCTGCAACCCTCTTGCTTCGAGATGCTCTAGAAATTCAACGGGAAGCAGTCCCTATGGCCAGCATCCTGCTGTGGATCCCCATGTATGTGGGACCCATAGCAATGTGTTGTTCTGAAGGGCTTGCTAACACCCCCCTCCCTTTTCACTCTGGATAGGGATCATGGTGGCAACATCCCGGGTGCTGCAGAAAGTGGAGGTGAAGCTGATCAGCAAGGAGCAGTGCTCGAAGTGGGTCCCACAGCTAGCGGACAATATGCTGTGTGCTGGCCTGGAGGAAGGAGGGAGWGATGCCTGCCAGGTAAAGTAATCAGGCTCTAGGAGCATCGTGCTGCCTACGGGGGCACAGAGACATTCGGGGAGAAGTGTCAGTGCTGCAGGAATGGATATTGATCCTTTCCATGGTTTCCTGGGGTTGCTAATGCTTCTCTGCAGGAGACCAAGGGAAGAAACTCAAGAGCTGAGCAACTGGCTGAGAGCCTTAGTGCATAGTTAATGTCTATTGACCCCAACGGCTTGCAGGCCTCTTGGGGTTGGGAGGAAGCCATGGGTCTATGGATATATCCCCATGGGACCTGGAACACCTTGTGGAGTTGACAGACACCACCACACACAACGTACATTAAGAGAGAACTGTTTCCTCTGAGTGGGAAATGGAGGGAGGTGGAGGTGAGTGGTTCCCAAGTGCCTTGGATGGGAGACAGTCGTGTCTGGCTTTGGACAAAAGGATTTGGCCTTTTGTCCCGTGGAAATTAAAAAAATCCTTCCGGGGACTGCTGCCAAGCTGTGTAGCAACTGGGGTAGCAGGAGGAGAGGTCTCATGCCCCTGCAGAGGGCTCAGCATGGTCCTGGCTGGTTCCTCCTCCTGCTTGGGTTCCCCATAGTCTGCTGCAAGGCAATACTGCCCTGTGTTGAGATTAAGTACAGGAAAGAGACAGGAAAAATTGTCTAGCAGTGTCAAAGCAGAAGAACTGGCTGGACAATTCAGCTTGGGAGTCTGAATGCTAGAGAATTTCTCCTCATGAGGTCTTGGTGCTGCTCCTAAGGTCCTTCAGTACCATGGCAGGTCTGTCTGTGGGTGGCAGAACGAGAGGAGCCCAATTGCAATGAATCTGTGACATGGGATGATGAACTTCTGCAACCCAGATATGATGAGTTAAAGCAGTAGTAGWTATTAGAGTCCTCTCGGGGAGGGAGCTGACACAAAAGCCTGAAGGAAGAAAAACCTCACTCAGAATTTGTGCCTTCAGAATAAATACCAAAATACCAYTATCATCATTTTATCAGATCACACGATCATTTATCATCAGATAAAGTCTGAAAGCCAAAAGAAGCCTTTGCTTGCAGGACATCTAACCCCTCATCCCTTCTCCCAGTGCTGAGTAAGGCCTGAGCTCTCCCTACAGCCTCTTCTTCAGTGGGACCAGGTCTCCCTCCTCCGCTCACCCCATTTCATTGCACATTGGGAATCAGCCAACAGCTTTCTTAGAAGAGTGTGTGTGTGTTTGCCGTGGGACAGATGGTCAGACATGTGTGCACAGCTTCATCCTGTAGGAGATACTCAGGGAACCAAACCAACAACCAGGACCAAGAGCTGTCTCTTGTCCTATGGGCAAGGGCAGCAGGATGCAGGATTTGGGGGCAATGCTACTGTGAGCTGAAGTCCTCAGCTGGGCGGCCAAGGGGAAGCTCTGCTTTGCAAAACCATCCTTCATTTAGCAGGAGAGCGTCTTTCTCTGGAGCCATCCGTCTAGTGACTTTCCCCTCCATTGAATCCAATCAAAAATTTAAAAAGAAAACTGCCACAGGATAATGTTAGCATGATTAAAGCAAACATTTCTCAGCCCCAAGTCCTGCATCTGAATTGTGCTGGTGAAGCAGCAAGAGCACTTGTACCCAATAGAAAGAATCTCCTGTGTTCAAGAAGCTGATGAGGGTGCTATTTTGATCGGCAATATGTTGGAGTAAACTGAGAAATGAACCCAAAATGTGAGCAGTGGAAGGRTACAAAGATTTTATGTCCAACTGCGCTCGTAAACCAGCAACTGCCCACTTGCAGTGGCAGCTTGTCCAGGCAGAAATGTCTTGCAACATGAGAGCAAGACAGAAACATACCCTAGGCTAGAACTTGAGCTGTTCAGGGGCGAAARAGATTCCTTGATTTTTTCTTCAGAATTTGCTGATTTGCTGGAAAGGAAAGCGTTTTGCTTATGGATAGTTTTCTGGGAAGTGCAGAGTGAATTCAGGCAGGGAAGCAAACACATTTTGGCCCAGAGAGGCTGCTTGAGAAGGTTCATGACTTGTCCATGCGTGGGTGGTTGGTAAGAAGCTGGGGGACCAGCTACAATCCTGATCCTTCTTCTGCAGCACAGATTGTTTCTGAACTTGATAAGGGAGCAAAGCACACGGTAGGAAGTGCAGTCTGCTGACCTATAATATTCCATAAAGATTTCTTCAGTGGTTTGGGTTTTGTGTCGAACGAGAACAAGGACAGATTTTAAAATAACAAAACCCTCTACAAAGTGGAGATGATTTTTTGAAAAGCTCTACAGAAAGTCTATCCTGCCATATCTGCTTGGATACAACCTTCACACATGTCTGGGGCTCCCAGATAGGTTTAGAAATGGATGCATTTGAAACTTGGATTAAAACATGGTTGGATGGGCTGAGATAAGCTCTGGGTGATGAGATGATACAGGAAGTAGGGCTTTTATGTATTAAACTCTTAGTCATGTTTTAAAGTTTATGCCCTGCCGATGTACCTGGAAATAGGCATAGGAGGGAAGAATATTGGAGATCTCTACCTATAAAAACTCTAGATGCAATGTTTTGGAGACTTCAATCTATTACCTATAGGTGATATGATATAAGTCAAGAGTAGAGGAAGATGAACTCAGACCTCAGCCCAGGTGGGCAGATACACCTGATCGAAATGTTGGTAGTGTTGTAGAGCAGCTCTGGGAATAGTTTTCATCCAGTGAAATCACTAGCTCTCCCTAGTGATTCTCAGACACAAATTAAGTTAAATAGACCCCAAATCATCTGCAATAACCACTTTGCATTCAAATATCCCAGTTCAGAAGTTAAGAAGAGATCTCTGGTCAAATATCTCTGGTCAGAGAACAAGCCCTGCCAATAATGAATTTAAAAGTGTAAACCTGGAAGCAATGCCCAATGCCGGCTGCAGAGCTGTCTGGACATGAATCAGGCATAAGCCTTATGTTAACTTTTCCTAAGCTCTACTGAAAATCAGGGTACATTTGTTCATGTTCAGAACCAGGCTAAGATGGRCAAGTTGCACCTACACCCTTTTTAAGTCTGCATGCTCCAAAGCTTGGGCCGATGGATTACCATGATAGGTCTTGGGACTGCATGCAGATATTTTCCCTGTTGCATTTAGATTTTGCAAGCTGATTTTGCACAAGTAACTAGAGCCACACAGGTGTGGTCGTCATTGAGGCCTCATTCGAAAGTCTTGTCYTGCTGACCACTGTCTTCATACCCACTTGGCAACGTATCATGTACAGAAAGGCTCAGGCTTTTCACCAGCTGCCCTCATACTAGTACCAGAGCATGACTAATCTGCAGATCACTGACTATATTTCTATAATAACTCAAGGAGATTGAATAGCGGAGCTCCCAAGTATTTGTACAATGGATTTGTAAAAAAATCCAGTCAATTAAAAAGCAAAATCTATTGTATACAAATTCCCTAACGGTTCTTCAGACAAATCTATGGATTGACTGTGAATTAACACTAACAAGATCTGTAATTGACTTATAGCTCTATTTAGTCAGAAACATTAGCATTAATGGATGTTCATGAAGGACCAGTGCTAAAGAACAGACACTAGAGATGGTCAATGTGTTATTTTTTGTGTGCTGCATTTCTTCCATGACCCCATGAACCACGATTTATATCTAATTCCTTGCTTTCTTAAGCCTCTTTTGTTAGTCTCTGATGCGATAGTAACTTGAACAATAATTAGAGTATAAGAGATTCACAAAGCAAATGCCTCTTCAGTGTCTTGCCTATCCAGACAAAATTCAGTAAATGGCCCAATTATATTTCAGAGAGTTTCTGCAAAAGAGGTCTATGGGGGCAGTTCAGAAATGTGGTGATTAGGACAGAGTGTGTTCAGCTGGAAGTCACAGTTCACATACAGTTCAGGTCAACAGTAGATGAAGAAGGGTCCAAGACTGGACCAAGTCCAAGTCAGGTCCAACCTGACTTTCTGGGAAGGATGCAGTCCCATAGACAAGCAATGGGATTATCCAGTTCAGTCTGTCCTGCCCATCTGAGTCACCTGTTGAAGGTATCTACCCACTTCCAGGCCTCATAGCAGGAGGTAATCATGGACTGCTCTGATAAATGCCATAAATGATGCTAGAATGCATCCAGGGACCTAGGTTTTCATTTCTTTAGTACTATGAAAAGGGCAGTGATGGATCTCTTTCCTCCACCTGTATTATGTCCCGTCAATATATATTGTGAGCAATTTGAAGACATTCGTATTTACAGCATCTGGGATACTCAGKGCTCTACTCATCCCTATGTAGCTGYAGCAGTAGCTGTTGACACCCYGTGTGAGATTTATCTGGTCCAATGGAAATGTCTCTTCTTCAGCCATCTGAATCTAAGCTAATCACTGGGGGTCYCTTTCCATCACAGGGGAGAAGCAAGATTTATGACACATGGGTCATCTGGACCATTTTAATAGTCCAGAGACGAACACTTATTGTTCCCCATTAACTAAAATCAAGTCCAGGGTGTCTAGCTCACAGGGAGACATGAAGCTCCAAGGCAAGACAGTTGCATACACATAAGTGCCTAGTGTCGTTTTAGATGCCCCAAGATGACCCCCATCTCAAATTGTGCTCCAGTAATGGTAATGGATTGCAATAGAGGCTCAGACACCTACTCTGAGCCTAAGAAAAGGCTGAGGAAATGCCTARGAGAGGTGATTGATCTGGATCAGATCTCAGCCCTTGCATTCTCATCTGATCAGTGTATAATAGTGAGTGCTAAATCCGTGAAGAAGTGACAAGAGCTTTTGCATCCTTTTGCTGGTGCTAATGTGGCTTGAAAGCTGAAAAGGGAAGACTTGTGAAACAGGAGTCTTTAAAAAGTAGAAAGACTGCAAATGAAAATCAGATGCATACAGATAAATTATCATCTGGAGAAGCATAGGAAAGGTCACAAACCTGGGAAACAAACCTTGTCATGAGTTCCTCAAGGTGTTTAAAATGTCTGAAAAATGGTTGAGAAATAGTCTGATTGCAGAAGGCACCTGCATGGAG